AATTTGTTTTTTTTCTGTGTGTGTGAAGTGGTTCGTGTGAGAAAATATTCTAATGGTGAACATTACATAACACACTGATGTGATTTACTATATCGTCAAGAATTACATATATAATTTTTTGTTATTTTCACATTGACTTACAAATCTCAAGAATATATACTAAAACTGTTTCATAAAATAAAGCAGGGAGAAAATAATAATAAATCGTAATCATTAACACACTTTATATTTTTTCTAATCTAATTTTACTACGCTTAATCATCACACGTTCACAAACGTCTACACTATCAATATGCGATTCGCCACTGATTACGCTGTATCACCTGACCATTCATAATTCCGACATCGTAATAAGGACACTTTCATTCAGACTTATTCGATGCCAATACGCATAAGTATTTATATAAATATCTTTATAGTCACCACAGCACAAGTCTATCAATATTTTTTTGTATTCGGTATCTCCACAGGGACACACTTTTTGGGATTCTACGAAAGAAAAAAAAAACGTTTAATTCATTGCATAATAGAGAATAGTCATATTAACGTTTTCGGGTCGAGAGAGCGAGGCTACGTGACCGGCACCCAGTCGCGAATGGCGATTTCGTCATACACTTTATTTTCCATCACCCAGCGTGCTCTCTCCTCCTTTGCAGCCGGCGAGTTGAAAGGAAGGAGTGGACCAATATCCCTCTTTATCACCGCGATCACACCACAGCACCATACACTAACCTGTACACGTCGCGAGAGATAAGAGAGCAGTCCAGATAGAGAAAATAAGCAAGCGGTCCATGGTGCGAGGAGCGTTGTGAGTGCACCGAGCAACCTTCCCGCGGGCACTGTAGTCTGCTGCTACTCACTACTCACTGTAGACCCACTCGCTCGCCAGCCTCGTGTGTGTGTCGTCTGCTGCCGCTGATGACGAAGGTGATGGGGATGGTGATGATGATGATGATGGTGTTGCATACAATCGCTTTCCTTCCGCACACGTTTTCCTTTTTTCTTTTCTCTCCTAACACGTGTAGGAAAATTTGTGACACGATGTAGGTTATGTATATGTTTGTAAAGGTTTAGTTTTGATGGAGGCTTGCTCTTCAGGGGATGAATGTTAACTTTTTTTTTCGTATGTTTTTTTTTTTTTTTTTTTTTTTTGCGTTTAACAGCAATACGACGAAGCTAAAGTTCATATTTAACAAATGATATCTTGCACGCGATTCTTCCTCACGCCATACGCCAATGCGGTCACACTAGTACGAGTCCCGTCTTCCAAATTTTAGAGATAAGAGAAAAAAATAATAATAGTTACGCCTTTTACCGGTTGAGTACGAAATGAATGAGTGATTACGAAATATTCTAGACGTTCTCAGTAACCTTAGTCGATAGGTGAGCATTCGGCTTCATTCTGTTTCAAAATTATTCGCTAGAAATCACAAACTTCATAATGGTCATATGATCAAGTAATTAAACATGAGGCACAGTATATCATATTTTATGTTTATATCAAAGTTATTTCTATGTTATTTTTTTCAGGCCCAGTAATTATGTACACGATTTTATTGACCGAAGCTTTCGTCGCACACTACACCTGACATAAATGTTATAATGCAGCATCTCTGTCCTTGAATACATGAATGAAATATCTTGACAGGTTAACAAATCAATACGCGTCAAGATGAGGGAACTGACGTGCCAAGTTAACAAATCAATGTGTCATGTCTTGCGGTTAGTACAGAAGCATACCAGGGTACACATTTCAGTACATCAATACCATACTGTATTTATCTACAAATCGAGGTTTTAGCATAATCGCGCCCTGATCCCATTACCCAGACTTTGCCGTGGATCTCTGTGCTCTGGGTCCTGGTGCGTCTAGAGTGACTGGAAAGCATGTTAATTATGCTATTAATGTTTAATGACGTTTAACGAACTATGGATCCCCCTTGTTTGTGGAATACATTGCGGGGTTCTAGATTCAATAGCGTTCCAAGTCTGGGTCGCCTAGTTACCCAAATAACCAAAGTTATGATTCCTGACGAAGCGAGTCGAACCTTTGCGTCTCTCTCTCTCTCTCTCTCTCTCTCTCTCTCTCTCTCTCTCTCTCTCTCTCTCTCTCTCTCTCTCTCTCTCTCTCTCTCTCTCTCTCTCGTTTTCTCTTCTGTCTCTCTCGTTTTCTCTCTCTTTTCCTTCTCTCTCTCTCTTTTTCTCTTCTCTCTCTCTCTTTCACTCTTATCTCTATCTTCTCTTCTCTTTCTCTATCCTTCTTCCTCTCTTCTCATTCTCTTTCTCTGTCTCCCCTCCGCTCTTCTCTTTCTCTTCTCTTCTCTCTTTTCTCTTTCTCTATCTCCCCACCTCTCTCTCTCTTCCTCCCCGCACTTTCTCAATTGATTTGTAATGCCTGTGACATACTGGAATTTTCTGGATGATACTTCTGGAGTTTCTTCTGTCGCACCCGTTTTGATGACGGAACTGGATCTATGATTTTTTCTCTTTTTTCGTTGGT